CTAGCGCCACCTGTGGGCTGGAGGTCCGCAGGGCGAGGAGCGCGGGCCCGCTCTGAAATGATGACGCGATCGTTCATGAAGTTGCGTCAAAGGGCCCAGCGGACACAAATAGGGAAGGAAAGGGTGAGGAGAAGAAAATCAGGTTCCACCAATGTTACGTTTACAGTGTGTTTTGTTAATTTGAGAAAAAAATGTACATCTATGCGGACACACCGTAGCCAGAATGAAAACTGAGGTAGTAACATAAAGAAAAAAAAAATATTGTCGTATTTCCTTCCTTGTATTGTAGATAAATCTGGTTGGTAGTTAACCGCATTGCAGCATGGCCTTAATCACCCATATTAATTTACCTCAGCCTGTGTTTAACTTTTATTTACTTATTTAGTAGATGCACAGCAGATCAAATAACACCCAGGTGCTCAAGTTGTTTGCCATTATTTCATGATCAATTCCTATTACATTCTACTGTTGTGTCCAAATTCAGGGTGTGTTCATAAAGAAAATCAGGCAAATTGGTTTAAATAGAAAACTTCATCGTATGATTTAGGAAAGGCGTTGATTTTTGTTAAAACTCTGCAAGAATAAAAAATATTACACTTTTAGCTAGAAAAAAAAAATCGGGAACAGCCCATATTCTTATTTTAAAACGAGTATACCTTTGCATTTCTCTGACTCTGCAGACCAAGAATCAATTCCGATCCCCAAACAGGCAGTGTACTGCATAAGGAACAGAGGGGAACCTCATGAGTCATGAAACACTTTATTTATTTTCATTAGAGGCAACCACATGGAATAGTTATTTTTACAAACTCATCAACCTCCATCTGAAAATGTCTTCTGTTGTTCTTACTTACAACTGAAAGAAACTTATGCTGTTTACAAACTCTTTTTAAAATTTCCTTCAATTAATTTTTCCCCTTTAAATTGGGCTCCCTTCTTCACCACTGTCCACCCATTTCTGAACAGTTATTCTCGAACAGATTTAGCTTTCCTGCTCTCATCTGATATGCAGGCTTACAATTCTTTCACTGTTGTTCCCTCTTTGTACCTGTTCTTTTGATTTTTTTTTCAAATAAATTATCAGAATTGTATAGTGATGCAGGTGAAAATTCCTCCACACTTGCGTAACACTCTTAATATTTCCCAGAAACACCTTTCTTTATTCATATCAGGGTAATATTATTCATATCAGGATAACGTTCCTTCTCACAACTGTATCAGGTGTTAGCTCAATCATTCTAAGATCTGAATCACTCATTCCCAGATGAGGACTTCCCAGCTTATAGTAAAAACATCTGTAACCACCATGGTTCAGAGGCACAGACTTTCCACTTGTCTGGTTTTACTGCAACTACGAAGAACTGGATCACTTAAATACCTTTGCTGGTCTGGCCTTAAATGCACGCATCTATGACTGAGTTTCAATCTGCTCTCAGAAAGTCACGTTCTGAATCACAGAATGGCTGCGGGACTTCTGGACGCCATCTGGTCCAACCCCTCCTCAAGCAGGGCCACCCAGACCTGGTTGCCCAGGACCACGTCCAGGTGGCTTTTAAGTATCTCCAAAGAGGGAGACTCCACCACCTCTCCAGGCAATGGTTTCCAGCCTGTCCCCTACGTAACCAGAAAGCCTCTGCAAGGTATTACTTATGAAGAAAAGCATGCATTTGAGAGCAGTAAGAAAGCAGTGGTAGTTTCATGTTTACATTCTCTAAATCAAGCTATAGGTTTACTCTGCTTTTTCGTGGACTGAACGTTAGGGGACAGCCAGCACCAGCCCTTTGCCTTCGTCTTTCCCCACACAAGAGGGTAACACGGCTGTTATCAATACCACTGAGCGCGTTACCAGTCAGTGATGCCCACCCAGAGTTTTTAGCACCATATAACTCTCTGAAACAAGCAAAGATTTGTCTAAATTTGAATATGAAATGGCAGGAGCAGCCATCTGCCTTCACCATACCAGGTCAAAACTGCTGTTTGGCACAGGTGGTCCTTGTGAGTAACATTTGAGACGCGCAGTAAAGCTCTTCAAGAAAATAAATTTACAGTTCAAGATACTGCTCACATTTTCAATGTAACTAAGTAGTATTTGCAATGTATCAGCAAGTGGTTAAATCAACAGAAGTTCTTTGAAAAGTATATTGTCTATTTTAAGAAACATAGAGCACAGGAACTACCAGGCTGAGAAAAAATAAGGCAATTCATAGTAGATTAATGTTAGATATTTACCTAAAATCGAAGATAAATTTAAGGATTCTCAGTATCATAAAATAGCTAGTTTAAGAATAACATTACCATTTCTGTCAGATTACTCAGAGAATTATCAAATGTACAGACAAGATAACTGCCTAATAAACCTTTTATATATACGCACATACTGAAAATTTTCATATCCCAATTATCCAATGATGACACGTATCTTTTGTTTCTCTAATTTTGTGTGAGATACTATTTTTTCCTCTTGCAAGTATTGCAAGAGAACCTGGGAGTAGGGAATGCAGCTTCAGCAGATGGGAGGTAGCATTAAGCCTCCAAACACATTGCCAATTTTTAAAGTTATTACGATACAACATAATGTGCACTTCCTTCCCTCCCTTTAAACATTCTTCCAGTTAGAAAAGATTTTTTTTTTTAATTAATTTTTTTACAAGAAAACAAGTGGCACTGATTAACTGTTTAAGCTGATGAACATTGGCTAAATCATAACTGACCTCATGGTATTAAGAAGTTAGTTAGGCATGAAAAAATGCCTCCAAGATCTTCTTTAGCACAGTCTGTGCTAGAACTGAAGCTCTCAGAAGAACCTGGAGCAAACCAGTACCCTGAGTTTCATTCTCTGGACCAAAATGCTGGCTGCATCCATTACCAGCCATCATTCTGGGGACAGCAGGGGAACATAAAGCAATGAACAAATTCAGAACATGCAGATTTCTCCAGAACAGAGGGCCAGCCCGCACTTCCCAAGCTTACATTCCAACCTCATGTTGCCCCTTATGCTTTTCCAGAAGTCTTTTACTAGACAGCGTCACGTTACACTTTCTACACTTGTACTTTTTTGTGTGCGTTTTTAAGTGCTTTTGGAAAGCACGTTTATCTACTGTAGAAAACTTACACCTTCTGCAGCGCAGCTTTAAATGAGTCAGTAAGTGACGCTTCAGGTGGCTGGATGTGCGGAAAGCAACAGCGCACTGACCGCACTTGAACGGCTTCTCCCCTGTGTGAATCCTCAAGTGTGGCTTCAGGTTTCCATTGTGGACTGTGGAATAGCCACACTCTTCACAGGTGTAGATTTTGACAGGTAGCTGCTTTTGTTCATAGAGACAGCCACTAGATGAGCTTTCCTCACAAGAGTGTGACGCCAGGTGCTGTTTCAAGGACAGCCATTTGTTCGTTGAGTAGTCACAGTTCCTGCACTTGAGATGCTCCATACTGAAATGCATGACCCTGTGTCTCTTCAGGTGACTGGAAGTACGAAATGTCTTCTGACAAACACTGCAGCTGTAAGGCTTCTCACCTGTGTGAGTTCTTACATGTAGTTCAAGGTTGCTTAAAATGTAAGTAGTGTACTCACACTCTGCACACTGATAGAATTGTGGCTGACTTTGTGCTAGCAAATCATTTTCTTTGCCCCTCTGGACATCTGGCTGTGCTCCGCAGATGTCTGAACCAAGCAAGGAATGGACGCTATTTGAACCTTCCGAGGAACAAAAATCTTTTTCGGGACACACACCTACACGCATTTCATGATGCAATTCAAGATTCTCTAAGCAGCGATCTACATAGAGGCAATGGCCAAACTCGTACCCATTCTTTACGTGAACAAGGCTGTGTTTCTGCAAATGGTTCGATGTTTTAAATGTTTTATGGCATTCTTTACACACAAATGGTCTTTCATCTGTGTGTATTTTTAGGTGCAACTTAAAGTCACTAGACACAGTGGTGGCATAACTGCAGTGTTGGCACTTGTAGGTTTTGAACGTAGACAAATTGGAGGGCCACGTATCCTTTAAGTTTTCCACAAAGTTGTGATACGCATCATCATCTTGAACTTGTGAACGAGAGGCCCTGGAGTTGAAGAGAGGTTCCTCTTTGCAAATGAGACTGTCCATTTTATACGAATTCAGAGGAACTTGTGATCTATTCCCAGTAATAGACGAGCTGTTGCCTCTATGGCTGGTTTTGGGAAATTTCTTTCCAGAGCACATTTTCTTACTGTCCTGCACATCACCTCCCTGCTCAAAGTCCAATTCTGAAGCCAGCATTCCCCCACTGAGACAATCATTTTCTTTACCAGAAAGTGACTGAGAAACACCGTCCTGGGAATCTCTGTCAACTTTGCCTATTTCACTTTTATGATAGTCATGGCTCTGATTTGTACAACCATTAGCAGTAGCCTTAAACTGTTCATGGAATTTCTTATGAAAGCTGAGATGTCCTCTAGTGTAAAACACCACGTTACATTCATCACATGTATAATTCTTTAAAGGTCTTTGGGTTCTCTTTCTTCCACTTACAAAGTTGACTTGCTGCCCTTGGCATGTTTCTTTGCCCGCATGTAATCTTCTGTGTCTCTCTAACTGCGCGATGCTTGTGAATGCTGACTGGCAGAACTCACAGGAATATGGCTTAGCCACTGTGTGGATGTAGCTGTGCCTTACCATGCTTGCAAAATATAACGAATAAAAGGTGCAAAACCTGCACTGGTACAGCTTATACCCAGCATGCCAGTACATGTGATTTAACAGACTGGATAAGCTAATGCAGGAGTAATCACACTGAGGACACTGGTAAGGTGGTCTCTCTTTATGTCCCTTCATGTGATGAATAAATATCCTAGGATTTGATGAAGCAAAGAAACAAATTTTGCAAGAAAAACTAACTGGCACACCCAGAGGTGTGAAGTCCCTTTCAATTTTCATGAAAAATTTATCATATTTACTTTCTTTTTTCTTGGTCTCAGATTTTCTTTCTTCAGATCTTCTCTGCCTAGCTTTTCTCGCATTTATTCTATTTTTCCTTGCCTTTTGCAACCTAGTCATTTTCTTATGAAATTTAAGGTGATTCTTAAGGTTGACAGAAAAGAAAAAGGTTCTTTTACAAAAGCAGCATTTATACATTTTCTTATCTTTATGAGCTGAATAAACATGTTTCTTCAGTTGTGCACTGCGTTTATATATGGAACCGCAAAACCTGCACTTCAAATTTGATCTTTCATGCTTATTTATAGAACAAGATGCTTTAGAAAGAGGTTTGATGGTCACACTATTACTTAGCCATGCTAAACCTTCTTGCTGGCTTTGGAATTCTTTTGGGCTTGCATGAGGAGAAACAACTTTTTGTTGCTGGTATCTTTTTCTAGGAAATGGTGTTAATGTCTTATAAATATGCTCTCCAGTAGTATTGGATTCAGCAGAAGTGGAAGCGTTCATCTCTGGTTTCTCAGCCTCTTTTAGCAATTCTTCTGAAGTAGGAGAACGTCCATTAAGAAATGGAGCAGAACAATTAAGGGTAGATTTTGCTTCTTCTTGCAAGCCATGTTCCAAAAGAGAACTCTGAGTTTCATCTTCAAATTTGCTTCTGTTTCTGTTACTAGCTTCATTGTCTCCGTTCTTTGAAGAATCAGGATCTACAAGGGGATAAAAAGACACATGCATGATGTTTCATACAATCACCAATGTTCATGATTAATTGGTAGTAATAATCCCAATTGTCTAACGACTTGCTTGCTCTTCACTCCTTTCAATTCCTTAGTATCCTCCTATCTCCACTTCTTTCCTAATGTCTCTCTCCATGTTCTCCCCGCCCCCCCCGCAAACATTTATATAATGTTTTAAGAGAAGAAATCCTAGTTAGGAGCCTCCTTCTTTCCACTTCCTCTTTTCACTCAAAGCTCTGAATTTCACAGGACCACACTGAATCCCCTACAGTTTTTAATGCAACAGCCTTATGACAGAATTCCTACGGAAGTACTGTCACCTAGGGCTCCATTCTCACAAGTATGATGCTCCTTTTGCTGTCTTCTCTCTGTTAAAAGGGAAAAGTACTCTTAGTACTTCTCTATACCCTTCTCCCTGAAGGACTTCCATCTGCTACAAGGAATGGTGGACTTTAAACCTAAATTATGCCTCTCCCAGTCTCTGCTTATATTGATCAGTTACTGCCTGTTGGTTTTCTCTCCCCAGTATCTCTAATTGGGATAAAAAAAACTTTTAACCTAACTTTTTATTCTCAGATCCTTTTCCCTAATGAAATGCCACCCTTTTGCAAACTGCAGCAGAATGGAACAGTATCAATTTATTCTAATTTCACAATTTTTCCACAGGAATCTGTGGAAGTACTAAGCATACTCCAGCCAATATTCTGTTTTTGCTGCATGTGGCATTAATCTATGTTGAAATGCTCACTCTAAAATAAACAGGTTTGGCATTCTTCCTATACGCTTTCCTACCTATTTCAGTTTGAGATTTACCAGATTTCTTAAACTCTTGCCCCAATCTTGTCAAGAAGTTACCTTCCGTTTCAACAACTGTCTCCATCTCCTTGCAGATTTCTGGTCGTTTCTCTTGACTGCCATCAGAAAGAACACTCGCAACACTGACGAGTTCCTCTTCACATTTGGGTATCGCTGCCAATGTCAGCTGCGTGCCTGGCTTGATGGTATCATCCCTACCCTCGTTGCCAGTGGAAGAAAGGAGAGGAGGAATCTCCTGAAGGCCACCACCAGCATCACATTCTTTTCTGTCACGGGTTTCATTTCTCTCTGTGAGCTCTGTTTCGCAAGACGATGTCGGCAACGCCTCATTTTGACTACACTTACCTGTGCCCACATCACACCCATCACTTACAGGTGATTTTGATCTGTCACACACGCTCTCCGCAACCTGTTTTTCTTCAGAGTATTTCATACCACTATCCTTATTTGACGCAGTCTCGGTTTCTGCCCTAACGCTTCCACTGTTACGGTCATTTGACGGCGTGACGTTGCTTTTTAGGAGGACGCTATTGTTTAGGTTAACCTCCTGCTCATCCTCCCCCGCCAACTCGGGGACCGGCGCCGCTTGCACCTCGGCGTCATCTGGGAGGAAATCCTCCTCGCTGAGCACAAAGACAGTGATGGGGAGAACGATCTCAAACACATCCGCCTCTGGGGACGGAAAAAGGGAGCATTAATAGGGGACCGGCGCCGCTTGCACCTCGGCGTCATCTGGGAGGAAATCCTCCTCGCTGAGCACAAAGACAGTGATGGGGAGAACGATCTCAAACACATCCGCCTCTGAGGACGGAAAAAGGGAGCA